GTGAGTGACTGAGTCTCTGGAGACTGCTGGGAGTGTGAGTGCGCAGTCTCTGGATGACAGGCTCTGGGAGTATGAGTGAGTGAGTGAGTAAGGAAGGGCGGATGCGGGTGGGATGGCAGCCAACAAAACTAGAACCCCACACAGAGATGTGGGGAACAATCAATATGGAAAATTGAAAGCCACCTGGAAAGGCCACCAAAAGGTCAACAGGCTTTGGAATGGCTCAAAGGCTTGAAACTAGGTTGGGTTGTGGAGGTGGGAGATGGCCAGGGTGGCTTGGTCATAAGAAAACCATAAGAAACGTGTAATGCTTTTTAATTTTGATATAGTTTTGATATGATTTTGGTATGGTTTTCCTTTTCCGAAGGATGGAGGCAGGTTCCCCAAAGCCACCTGGAAAGGCTACCAAAAGGTCAAAACGCTCTGGAGTTGCCCAAAGGCTTAAGAAAAACAACAGCAAATCATACCAAAACAATAACGAAGCCATAAAGACATACTTTACATACACGCTTCTGTCACTGGCTTGGGCGTCTTAAAAATAGCAGGAAGAAAAGGAAGAAGGTCTAGAGGAAAAAGGTAAAACACAGAAAGGCGTCAAGAAAACGGAACCTCCAAAAATGTAGCTTACCTTTATTCAAAAAATGTAACTTACATTTTTTAAGGTGTCCCTAAGAAAATGTAACTTACATGTTTTAAGCCCAAAGTTGCAAAAAATGTAGCTTACGTTTAGACAGGTCCCCCCCATTAGGGGTGGGGATCATATACTGACAGGTTCGCCACCACCCACCCAAAATAGTACAGTTGTACTTCAGATCTCAACCAAGTTGGCCAAGCGGACCAGCAAGCGTCCTGCCCGCACCCCGCTCTGGCGGCTTTGGAGCCAGTGCTTGACGATGAGGTTGTCCGGCATATAGCGCCACCGCTCCGGCCCAGTGTGCTCTAATGGCGCACGCAAAGGCCACGAAAGACAGCGTCCACATGGATGACCAAGTTGTCTCCTTCCTCTGAGCCCAGAAGCGAACATGAGCTGCCTCCGCGCGAAGGGACACCCAGCACGGTCGGCGGAGCGTCCGATGAGATCACCACCACACCGATCCTCTCCAGAGGTGGAAGCATAGTCCGAAGCCCGAGCAAAACAAGGCCTCCCACTGCTCCAAGTTGCTGGTCAGCCACCGGCCGGTTTGTCCACGCCTGCTCCCAGGTAGTAGTGCATTGTTGGTCTCCTTCTTGAGAAGCCGGATGATCTCTTTGACCTCCACGATGGCCAAAAGATGACACAGAGGTTGGCAGTGGGCATACCCGTGGATTTTGGGGAACCCACGCTTTCACAACGAAGCTCGAGGAGGCCGAGGAGTTGGGGACCAGCGTCCTGCCCAGCTGCAACGATTGGATGAGTGGTTGGTTCGAGTCAAGCGTCAAACCGATGTTTGGCGCAGCACCAATGGAGCTGAATGGGGAGCAGTCAGAACCACAGCCATGAGAAGTTGGCTGAGTGGCACTTGGCTGCTCCGCATCGTTGGCCTTTGATGGTCATCGTGGACATGTGGGAGGAACTTCACTGGAGGCTGAAGCCCAGCGGCCCTCAACTTGGATGAGGCTCCCACCTGGGCTCTCCGGCTCCCAAGCCCACCTTATACTGGCCCCAGGCCCGCAAGACGAAGACCAGCTTGTCCGATGTTGTTTTGGCCTGATGTCGCAGCTGTCTGGTGCTGAATGGCTGGGGCTATACGGGCATGGGTTGCGATCTCCTCTGAAGACGGGTGGAGGAGCTATCCTCACCGCCCGCCGTGCCCGGCCTCTCCTCCATCTGGTTCGCCAAACCTGGCGGGGCTCGCCACGCAGGCCCTAAACGCATTGGATCACGGGCTATCGTCAGGCTATCGTCTGATTGGCTATGGCCAAAAAACGTGAGCGCTGCCACCCAACGGACCATGTGGCCCAGGGCCCCCCACTCACTCTTCGAGCGCCCTGTGCCAAACATGCTGAGGCGCCGCCCACACTGAAGTCTAAGTTACACAAGTCTAACCTCCAAGAAAAAGGGCGCGTTGGCATTTGAGTGGCCGCCCCGTGTGTGAAGCGCGCTGCGCAGCAGGTATTTTCCATGTTGTGGCAGGTCGCCTTTCTGTTCAGCGCAGCAGGGCAAGCTCGAGAGCATCCTTCAAACTTGTTCGGTTTGTTTCTTGGGGAGGGTTTCTTTTGTGACGTCCGTGCGACTTTGGTTTTGTGGACGTATCTGGAAACATATCGATGGTGGTGTCCTTGAGTCTTTTTGGGTTTTGTTTTGTGAGTTTGTATTTGTAGTTCTGGCTTTTGATGAGAGTTTCTTGAATATCAGATTGAACGGAGCCCGGGCCTGAGAATGAACAATGTGTTGTAGCAATAAAATATTCCATGGGTAGGTTGTGCATTGCGAAGGAAAATATTACATATATTATGTATATGTGTATATGCATATATATATAGCTGTTTCTAAATATTTGCGCTTGTGGTTTGATGGAGGAGACCTTCAACAAGACCCTGGAACGCTTTAGCGGCGAGATGACTGCGGAATGGTTTGGCTCTCAGTGGTTGGTCACGTGAAATCCGCCATGCTGCCACGTCGTGACCAGCAGCCTGACCGAACTGGCCCAATTGAAGGCCCACCGCAGGATCCCGCTGAACTTGCGCGGGCAGCAAAGCGCAAAGCGCGGCGTCTTGTTGTCGCCACCGCAAGCCACAGCTACTCCCAGAAGAACCTCCCGCAGCCAATAACTATATAAGTCAACTGGCAACCGCCGCGTCAGACCAGCGACAACGACCGAAGCCTCGGCTCCAACTGAAAAATTGGACCGGACAATCCCATACATTGAAGTTTCTGCCAGAAACGCAGGCAGTTAGGTAAGCAAGGTTGCAAATCAAGAAAAAGAAAAGCAGCAAACCTGACTTGTTTTCAGCAACCTGTGCAGTCATGTCAATCACATCGCAGTGTTCTGCGACCCACTCCACGACTCCCAAGAAATCAACCACAGAAATCGGCATTTTCAGGCACAGCGATATCACGGGCAAACTTATAGTGACGTCCAGACGCTATTTCACCGCTTCGCGTGCCACAAATGTCAGCCTGCTCGCGCGCGACGCGAATCATGCGGCCCACCAGCGACGGGGCGCGTTTACGCCAGCATGTTTCCACCAAGGCAGCACCAACCCGGGCGGCGCACTGACTTCACGGACTACTCTCGCCGCGCCGTGTGTCATAGACAGGTATAAGCCCGACGCCACACCAATCATCCCGCTCACCAGTGACGTGCAGTGTTTACGCCAGCATGTTTCCTTTCAATGGCAAGGGCTCGCGCGAACGCGCTTCCTACACACGCCGCGCAATTCCGCATGGCACACTGACACCAGAGAGCACCGCGCGCGCAACGTGGCGGGCCACATTTACGGAGGGGTGGGGGCATGGTTGCCGGGGCACGCTGGCCTCAAGCAAGCTGCAGATCTGAAAGGAATGGCAGGGCCGTGCTGCAGTGACGGGGCAGCAGGGAGCGAATGGGCGTTCTGGTGCAGCGCACATTTTTGGACTTGGCGATCATTTTTTGTGGCCTTTCATGGCCTTGGATTGTATGCACCCATCACAACATGACCGGGACACCGTCACAACATGACCGGGACACCGTCAAAACATGACCGGGGCACCATCGCTACACGACCGGGACGCCGTCGCAACATGACCAGGACATCACAACGTGACCGGGACACCGTCGCAACATGACCGGGACAACGTTACAAGTTACAACACGACCGGGACATCGCAACACGACCGGGACACCATCGCAACATGACCGTCGCCAATGACCGGGACACCATCCACCCACCAGCTCTGACGCTCTGACGCTGACCCGACGGCGCCCGTCCACCTACTAGTTTTGCAAGACCCCATAGCATGGCTATTGGGGAATAAGGTTTTGGGCGGCTTGAAAATTTTTGGGGCAGCCCGCGCACGCCACAGAAAAGAGAAAGTAATAAGGGATCAGAGCTTGAGCAAAATTACCCCGAGAGACCCCAAACAGTGTGTTTGAGGCGTAGAGGCGGGGCAGCAGAAAGTAGAGATCTAGACGTTGGGGTCCAGATGAAGGTGGTGATGGTGGTAATGATGGTGGTGATGGTGATGGTGGTGGGATGATTGGTGGTGATGATCGCCAGAGGGCGTCCCGACAGGTGTGCGCATGCTTACCTGGGGCATGCTGGTCTCAAGGGAGCTGAAGATCCGAAAGGAATGGCAGGGCCGCGCTGCAGTGCGGGGCGGCAGGGAGCGAATGGGCACCTGGTTGGACGCAGCCAGTCCCCGACAAAGCTAGTGAAATTGCGGGCCAGAATGGCCGAGTTACGGCCAGCCAGAGCAAGCAACATCCATCACAAGTCACAACAGCAAAACCGCACAGGGCGGCAGTACCAACGCAACTGTCACATGCCACAATCACAAAGCTTGCAAGTTGCAAAGGTCTAACCATAGCGACAACCAACCGCAATGACCAAGCAGCAGCTCGAACCCATACTATATAACAGTGACCAGCGCAATGACCACAAGAAACACCCGTGACAACAGTGGGAACAGCACATGGCGTGCATTTATGTGCGCAACAAGCCGCACTGACAAAAACCATGAAGGACCACCATGACCAATGTCAGTGACAAACAATGTCAACAGCAACACCAAGCCACAGTCACAACAGCAACTACTAACACAATGATGCATTCAAGCCTAACGACATGACCCTCTGAGACCACCCTGCAGGTCCTCACGGAACCAGCCTGTTTCGTTGGATGGTTCATGCTGGGCGAATTTGTGAAATTGTTCTGTTTCTTCACATCATTGTTGAGACTTGCCTGGCGTAGGTCTTCAAGCCTACGTGGAGCCAATGCGCGGTATCAAGGAGGGGCCTTCCAAACAGCACATGCTTTAGATTCCTGGATATCATTGTTGGGTTTGATGCGTTTGGCACGAAGTTTGGTTAGAAAGCGCCTACAAGCGGGATTGGGTCGGATTGGGTCGCTGTTAAATTTGCACGTGCTTCAACAATCACCAGCGAAACAGGCAAACCAGACCAACCAAAACGGCGTGTGATTGGCTGGCCCTTCCGTGTTGTTTTTTGGCAATGCTTTTTGAACGCCTCCAGGAGCAAAACCTTTAAAGACGCCCAACGTAGACTCGCAATTGCAAGTTCGTCGTCCTTTTCAACATGACATTGCTGAAGGAGATCATTTGAAGCCACATGCCCTGTGCCACATGAACGACTGCGGGCCAGTATCGTTGTGGATCAGGGCAGAATAGTTTGCGAGCGCAGTGTCGACGAGCAGATCCTGGCAAATGTCAGACAGTGCTTGCTTTCAAAGAGTAAACCATTGCTTGCACGTTGAGAGGGGCTCCTCGGCTACTTCTCCCGTAGAAAGCCCGCGCGAGCCTCACACTATCGAGCGCCCCTTGAAACACGAGAGGGGAATTCCATGTACTTATATAGTTCGCCTGTGAATTCGTCGAACCCAAGCTCTGTGGTCTTTCCACTTGCTGATGAACACAGCGCCGTCTCCTTCAGCATGATCCTGATGGCTGATGGCCGCTGTGTCACCACATAAACTTTCTCCACCTCCCTGAGGATGAGATGGGTGTTGATCCACCATCACCTCCACGAGGAACCTCCAGTTGCGAACAAGCTTTCGTTCTTTGTATTTTGTTCCTTGACTTCTCTCTCTGTTTGGCTTCAATACTTCAACTTTCAGCTTGTGATGTTGGGTCCTGTGGTGAAGTTCTGTCCAAAGGGTTGGCATGGAGCCGAAAAATGCAATGTTTTGCACTGGTGGTCAAACAAACTGGATAACTAGCTAGGACAGGTGGGAGGTAGTCCATGTGTCACCACCTCAATAGCACCAGGAGGCGGATTGCTGATGTTCAGATTCGGGTGCAGCAATCGGTCCCGCCTGCCCGAAACCACTCGCACCACCAGAAAAACTTGCATCACCACTCGAGCCGGGATGTGTCAACCAACGTCTCTCACGACACCATTCCATTGCAGAACTATCAGTGCGGGAAAAGCCATGGTGGCCCAAAACCACAGGGTAGGCCTCCGGCTTTCCCATGGCATGCCCGATCCGTGGTTTTTGCTGTTTGTCTCATGCAAGGATGAGTGGCCAGGCGCATTTGCTTCAATTGCCGCGCAGCAGCCGAGGTTTCAGCAGCCAAGCGGGTCCAACCACAGCGGATGCAACCCCTCATGTTGCAACTAAGGGAAGGCACCAGAACCCAAACAGCAAACCAGGGAAGCACCAGGTCAAACAGAACACGTGTAGGTGGGCAATGTAGGGGGAAAACGGGCCTTCACCCACGGAAACTCTTGAGCCTTGTCCAAAAAATGCTATATCATTAGGCGCATGATGCACGGTACTTTGTTTAGCTTCCACGGCAATCGTTTGATCGGTCGGCTCTTTGCCAGGAAGCCCCTTCGCGCTGACCGCAAGGACGGGCAGGAGTTTGTGGATACTTATGGCAAGTACTCCAACCTAACAAGGACAATCATACATTCTTAGTTTTTTGGCATGGGCTGGGCTAAACAAGTGCCAGTCTCGAGAGCAGCATGTGGAGGAGGACCGGGGACTCTTTGAAGCCGCGATCTGACATCAGCCAAATTGTTTAGTTTTTGCACTTAAGACACTAGACTCTTAGATGCTGGAAATCTCCCAGAGATTTGTCCAGAACCTGAACCTGTTATTGTGGGCGAACTCCTGCAGTTGGCCAGGTGGTGTGCCATGTGCACCACTTGGCCACTTAGTGCCTGCTAGCCAGAAAGTTTTCTATGCGTTCACGCTGTGACAGTGTCGGTTGCAATGTTGTCGCGGTTGCTACGTAAGTTCTTAATCCTTACTGGGGTCAGCTCACGGAAGCTCCTGTCTCCATGGTTTGGTTAGGTCAGGTATCCGAAAGATGAACGCACTTGCCTTGATAACAGATCGACCACCTTCTCAGCTATCCGTCATGTGCCAGACAGGCGTTGATCTTCGGATGCACAGTATGCATAGTATAGCTATAGCCGTAGTTTGCCCAAGAAGTATTGGGACCTAGCATTCTAGTTGCGTAGCCCCTCCTAGCCTCCAGTTGGCCAACTGTGCTTTGGAGTGACCACGTCGCACTGAAAAGGCGGAACTGTTGTGTGTGACATGGTTGACATTGATGACTGAGACTTTTGAAGTTGCTTCGGTTAAAACGTTTTTGTCCCGCACGCTATAGTGACCGCCGTGCGATCAGCAAAATTGCAGGTTCAGCTGTCAGTCCCTGTTAGGCACGCCGTTGCCTTGCACCTTTAGTGACACTGCCAGGCTTGTGCTGGGAATGGTTTCCAACGAAGTTCTACTGGTCAGTCGCAGTCCTCCGTTTCGCCTCAATCTTGCTTTGCTGTTGAGGCATTGGAAGGAATATGGCCCTCCGTCTCTCCCCACTTCATCTCATTCACGTGATCTCAGCTCCCTTGACGATTTGATGCTCAACTCCGATCAACTCCATGCCTGATTGTGTTTCCCCACCAGCCAGCGACATGTTCTGGAAAGGGGTGGTGGGTTCCTTTGTCATGGGTTTCGAGACCAAGCAAGAACGAGATACTGTATATAATCTGTTTGCAACCTCTCTCCTGCTTGAGGTTGGTCTCTCCATGAATTTGCAGTGGCTGGGGGCATGTTGTCGGTGCCACGCTGTCAAAGGGATGTTTCTTCCAGTGTGGCCAAGCAAGTTGTCTTCAATGAATGATGAGGTGGATCGACTGAGTGCACTTTCAAGGTCAAGCCTACACTGCTTCACAGCCCGCATGAAGTTTACACCATGTTTTTCCCAACGTTGGTTGAGGAAGAGTTGGGTTGGCTTGCATGAACTTGCCGCAAAAATGTCACCATGATGGATACGAACCTAGCAAGGCAAAACTTGCTTTTTTCTGGTGGTTGGAAAATGTTAGAAACTTGACTTTGTTGCATTGCCCGCTGCCATTGCTGGGCTGTAGTTGGTCGCTTGGTTATTTTAGTGCTTTACGCTCTATTTGTCCAGAAGTCTACTCTGCCCGACTTTTACATCAAACATCCACTTTGCATGCTCTTCTGGAAACCCCTACAACCATGCGAACCAACCTCTTCTCCCACACTTTTTTAAAAGGGAGTTATATGTTTCTGGATTTTTTCTCCCATTTTGCCTTACGCAAGGCAATTCACGCTTTGCCACTAGTTTTCTGCATATTTTCCTTTCATTGACTTTGCAATGCTGTGCGTAAAAATCGTAACCCGGGCCAATGAGTTCCGCCGCCTCCAGTTCCATTCCCAGCAGACAGAAGAAGTGCCACGCCAATGCATCCCCGTGCACACCAGACGCAAACCTTGCCCATGTGCTTCGTCCCTGGAGGTTCGTTTCCGATGAAACTGCGCCTCCCATTCAGTTTAGCTGAGGGAAGCATCATACTTCTTGCCCACACAAGATGCGCCATAAGGTGCAAGGCACTTCCAAGCGGAGTCACATATGGATGAGGTGCGCATGTGAAGTGAAAGCCTTAGAGAAACTATATAAAAAGGTGGCGGGTATAACACTTGGCAAGTGGAACGGCCTTCCAATGGACCAGCAAGATGTCAGAGTTGTTTTCCACTACTGTATATACTATATATGCCCTTGCTTTGTGGTGTCCGACACTTAGATATGTGAGGGATTGTGAGGGCGTGTTCTCAAATCACGTGTGGCTGGTGCTGGCATGCTCATATTTCCTGGTCACGTCAGGCCTGTGATGGTGTCCGGTGTGCAGACGATGCGCATGTCGGTCAAAGTCAACTTCCGATCATGGTGGTGGTAGCCCTGGTAGCCATGGGCAACCTGCTCGCTATCGCTGGTGGTAGTATCGTTTCATACAAGCGGGGGATGTCAATCTCAATGGTACGTCACTGTGTTTGTTTAAAGCTGTGTGTGAGTGTTTGTGTGTGTGCAGGTGTATGTGCGCAGTGCATGGTTCTCAATGACGCACAATGTCGCCGCATGGGCTGCAAGATTCAGCAATGGTCACCTCGATGTTTCACAGGTTCTTCTCTAAGAGAACAGCCTGATGGACAAACAAGTGTAACAAAGGTCGGACAGGACCTCAATGTCGGACAGTGATAGCAGGGGCGAAGAGGTTTCAGGGCCCGAGGGTCCGAACAGCAAAGAGGTGAGCCTTGCTGAAGAACACATCCCAAGAGGTTGGCAAGCCCGAACCGATGGTTTTGTGCATCGCCATTCTGACCGTTTTGCAATGCTTTCAGTTGCCGAAAGTCATTCCGAATTGGACGCACTGCCTTTGATGCTAGTAGTTTTTGTATGCTTGGTGTCTGCATTTCTGGGACTTGTGGTTGCTGGTTTGCATTTGATGATCAAAGAGGTTGGCTGCCCTTTGGGTGTCAACGGGTGCAACAGTTTTCTGGGCCCACAGCTCAATCCAAAAGCTACGCATTGATCAAAGTCCTGGACAAACATGTGCCAGAAGATGTGGTCTATGTTTTCGCAGGTGTCATCAGCCTTTTGATTATTGGCCTTATCATGGAGGTTGTCCCTGACAGCTTTGCAAAGCAGTCATTGGGAGGCGGCACTGTCCAAGCCTTGTTGGCCGTGGCTGCTGGTGTTCCTATTTCTTTTCGTTGCGCAATGCTTCGTGTGGCCGTCTCAGCTATTTACTTTGTAGGAGGAGGAACTCTTGGAGGTGATGGGCCAACCATCCAAGTTTGCACTGCCATGGCTGGGATGATCGGTTGGGTCTGTGGGATTCGATCCCCACGTACACAATCTCTCCTTGCATCTTTGGGATTCTGCTGTGGCTTTGCAGCCACCTTCAATGCTCCATTGGCCGGCATTTTGTTTGCCATGGAGGAATTGCAACATGTTTCCTCCCGATTGACAACGCGCGTGATCATTATTATCCTGGTTGGTTCTGTCGTGTCGACTTCCGTGATGCGTGGCTTTCTTGGGAACAGAGTTTTGTTCCAAGTTGCTTTTCACCCAGGTTTGTCAGGTTTGGTATCAGGTGCTTCCTTCAACCAAGTGTTCGGAGAGAATCTTTGGATGCTGATAGCCGTGCCCATCGGACTGATGTCAGCCATCGTGGGCTACATGTTTCACAAGATATTTCACTTTCTCCACTGGTTTCTTCAACAATATGGATTTCGATTTTGCTCCAGATACATTGTTTTTGCCACCGTAGCTGGGTTCTCAGCTGCCATTGGATCTATTGTCTTCCGATTGACTGGTGTCCGTGGCGTTTGGGGCATTGGAGTGCAATCGTTGTCACAAGCTTTGAACCAGAATGAGGAGCTGCAGGACAACGATGCGCTAATTGTGGCAATTGGTAAGTTGGCAGCTTTTTCCCTGTGTGCGGCGGCGCGTTTTCCAGGGGATACTTTGGAACCTGTTCTGATTTCAGGTGGGTTTCTGGGGGCTTGGGTTGGCCGATGGCTACCCATGGCTGGACAAGAGGGTCGCTCAGCATGTGAAATTTTCGGCATGGTTGGCCTGTTTGCAAGCTGTTTCAGATTTCCCTTGACTCCGATCTTGATAGTGCTGGAGTTGACGGGAACCGATTCTTATTTTCTTATTCTACCAGTGGCTCTATCGTCCTTCACAGCTTTATTCATTTCCAATCATTTGTTCCCACCTATCCTTGAACAAATCCTGGCGCAAGATGGGATTGACTTGGAAGCCATCGCGGAACTAGCGGAGATGGTGGATGACGAGGAGAAGAACATTCATGCCGAAATGGCTTTTTTGGACAGAAGTTCAGCTTCTGAGAGTGACTTGAAAATGGGTCAGAGTCACAGCAGTATTTTGAGTGCAGAATCCATTCGGAGCATAGGTGCGCCGTCAGCATTGCAAGCAGTTACTCAAGCCTTTGGGAAGCTGGAAGAGTCTATGGTCGAGGTTTCGTCTGTGGATCATCGCACCCGGCGACTCTCGCGAGGTTCCATGGCAAGCAGCCGCCGGTCAGACGGAGTCGGACCATTTGTGAAGCCAACTTCCATCGGATGCTCCTGCTCAGAAGCTTCACAGAACTCTGTGAGGTCCATGCCCTCAAGAGATGGAACCCGTCGCATCTCTTTCTAAGAGGGCACCAAAGATGCAAAGGAAGCAACATGTGGCCAAAGCTCTCCCCGGCCTGGGCCAACTTCGGGGCGGCAGCGGTCATCGCGAGGGTCGCGAGGGTCCGCTTGTTCAAGCCAGAGCGCTGGTGGCGCTTTCTGCAGTTCCAAGGGTTCCAGTACTGAACACATTCCGTCCCTGCCCAGCCCAAGCCAAATTGTGAGATTTGGTGATGAGGCGCTCGAAGGGCGAACGCTACAGTTGTAAGCTTTACAAATCCCTTTACAATGTGGCTTACATGCTCCGTTGATGCATCCAATTGCCGTGATGGAGGATACTATTTGCAGATGTTGGAGGTGCATGTAGTGAAATGTCCAGAATCAGTTTCACCCGTGGGGAGGTCCGGTGTGACTGTTCTTGAGTCTTGAGGCTTTTTGCTGTTTTGTTAGTTGTTTGTTTCCGCATTGCATTTAACAACCAACTCAAAAGGATTGAAAAGGGACAAGTTGCAGTGGACCCCCTGTTGCCATCAAATGTGAAGGCATGCGTAAGTCAGTCGACAAGCTTGCCGAGATACCAGCAAAACTAGTGCCGCAGCTAGTCCAAGGCTTGCTCAAGCAACGTAAGGTAGAATAAACGAGCGGAGCGCTTGCTTCGACTTGTTGATTCACAGTGGTGTACTATATACATGCCTAATTACCACTGACTTTGGCTCAAGGAAAACAGTGCGATCAGCCGTATCGCCATAAGTGCGGTACGTGCTTGACTAGCTTGGGTTCCTTCCACCGTAGGTAGTGCACTGCCTAGGAACCATGGCTGATGGATGTTCCCGAGAGGACCGTTCCCGATCCGGGTATGTGCCGACGTCACCGGCGATGTCTAGTTCGCCGGCACTCGATCTTCCTGTTGTTCCGCTGGACATGCTTAGGCCTATTGAGCCTCCATCATTCAGTGCACAGGGGGGCCTGTTGTCCACTGTCGTCGTGCCGTCGCCAACGCATGTTGAGCCATCACCGGTGTTGAATGTTCAAAATGTTGACGCTAGGCAGATTCATCAACAAGCGCTTTTTGTCAACGAAGATCGTTCGGCCCAGGTAGCTCAAATTGCTGAACTGAGGCATCAGGCCATTTTGGCAGAGCAAGGACCGTAATTCGTCGATGAAGCTAGGCAATATCGGGATGTCGTGGCCAACCAAGCTAGGGCGGTCATTGAGGAGTCTAGGGAACAGCATGAGGCTATTGCCAACCAACGATTAAGCGACATGAATCAAGCCCATCAGAACCAACAACTTCATGAACAAAGGGCTTATTTAGATCGGATTTCACTCGAAAGACATGCCGTCATTGAGAGTGAACGCGCATCGGCTAGGCAAAGAGAGGATGCCCTCCGGTCAGAACTTGCCGAACAGAGTCGGATCATCAAAGAGCTAAGAGAAAGGTTCGACAACGCCTCGGGGAACCGAGTGCCTGTGCCGTCAGTACAGCCACTTGGATCTCAAGGGTCCCCAGCTTTGCCTCCTGCGAGTCTTCGTACTCATTTGGAGAAGCCCGGGAACAAAGGCGATGACGATCCGCATCCATCAGATGCGCATGAAGAAAATGAAAGCAGGTCCGGGAAGGACAAAAAGAAAAAGAGAAAGGGGAAGAAGAAGGACAAGAGCCCAAAGAGAGGACGTTCCCGAGAACGCAGAAAGAAGCGCTCTCCTTCCCCATCTCCGTCTTCATCCAGTTCGTCTAGCGGAGATGATAACTCCAACGGCTCAAGCTCTGAATCGTCGCGTCTCGCGCGCATCATCAGGAAGGAGCTGAAGAAGCAGCAGAAGAAGTCAAAAGACAGGGACCGTGAGAACAAGGCCAAAGAGGCCGACAAGGTTCTCATTCCCAAATTTCCCACACCTGAAAAGTACAGGGACTGGAAGATTAAGGTGAGGGACAATATTGCAGCCGCTTCGGCCAAGCCAGATGATGCAAGAACTTGGGTTGGGAAAGTGTACACTGAATCCCAAACCATTGAGGCACTTGATGATTCAGAGGGCTTTGCCACCCTCGACGCGAAGCTTCTTGCAAGCCTCACGAACTGCGCTGAGGGGGACCTCGGTCGTCAAATCGCAACCTTCAAGGAGCTGCGCGCTCGCGAAGAGAAGCCCGTGAAAGGAAGACATTTGCTCCTCCGATTTCACGAGTACTTCGCTACAAGCATCCGGCACGGCGCCATTTACGGCCTCGAAGACCTCATGTCGGTCAAAATGGTGAACGATGATCTGAAAGGTTTCATCAACAAATGGGACAGTGTGTTAGCGGGCATGAAGAAGGAGCCCGAAAACAATGTCGTGGAGGCGTATTTTCACTTAGCGGTGAAGCGCTTCAAGCCTCTCGAGCATGATCTTGCCCTGTACGACCGCGCTGCGGAAGGCAGCAAAGAGAGATCCTATGATTTTCTCATCACTGCGGCTCGGGCATATCTCGAGAGAAAGAGGCTGGAAAAGATGAGGGACGCCACCAAACGCTCCCTCGGCGCCAAAGACGTTGTTGTGCCAGCTCCAGAGGATAAGAAAGGTGCGTGCTTTGATTACCAAAAGACTGGAAAATGCAAGCGCGGATCTTCATGTCCTTACAAGCACGAGAAGGGCCGCGAGAAAAGCAAAGGAAAGGGAAAGGGTAAGGATCGCAGCCAGTCTCGAGCAAGGTCGCTGACTCCAGGATCTCGGAATGCAAATTCTGGAAAGCAGGACATTGTCATCGAGGGAAAGATTGCGCGTTCCAACACCCTGAGAAAACTGTCCCAGCAAAGAAAGAGGACAGAAAGAAGAAGAAGAAGAAAGAGAAGAAACCTCGCAAGCGAAGCAATTCGCGAGGGTCGTCAGGCTCCGACAACTCAACTGGCTCTGAGAGCCAGCGGAGAAAAGGTGGAAAGTCTTCTTCTTCCAATGCACCGGCGGCAGTCTGCCTCCTTCGTGCTGTGGTCATGGCCGCAGTGGTCTCTCAGGGATCCTCCGTCCTCATCACACGCCCGCTGGGAAGCGTGGCCATGCCGGTCCTTTCCGCATCAAACACTATGTGCACCGATTTTGACAACACAGAAAACGTTGACAGTTTTGTTAGACAACAAGTCCGTTTTGACGATCAACCGAACGTTTTTAGTCATGCTGTTGAGTCTTCTTCCAGCTGGAGATCTGTTCAGCCCCGAAGTAAGAAGAAAGGGAGAAGTTTTACACCAGATCGTCCTGAATATGTTGAAGCCGTTCGAGTCGCCACTGAAGATGCTTCCATTGCAGCCTCGCATCTCCAGAACGCTGTCAGGAATGAGCTTTCCTATGCAACTCTGACATTGGTTGTGTAAAGTGTTTTGGTAAGAGGTCGTCCCCATCAGTGCCTGCCACTGAGATCGCATGGATAGCTGACACTGGTAGTGCTCACGATCTTGTGTCTAGGCACATGTTTCATTCAGGTGAGGTATCACAGTCTCCCAATCCGGTAAGTCTTCTTACTGCCAACGGAGTTTCCCAAGCCACCGACCAAGCGAAAGTCAATGTTCCCATATTGGGTGATGACATCAATCCGTACGTCCTAGATGACAGTCCAGCCGTCGTGTCCGTGGGACAACGCTGCATCGATGCAGGATGGTGCTTTCACTGGCCCGCTTACAGTAGGCCATACTTCAAGAAACCAGATGGTACAAAGGTCAAACTTGAAGTAGATGATTATGTTCCATATCTGCCATCAACAACTGGTGTTGCGATGTCCGCCATAGGTCAACGCTATGGTACAAGCCAACGGTCGGGGGGACCACGACCCATGATTCCTCTGCCCGCTTTACCGGCCGAAGAGGCGATCGAAGTCTACGACGACGATGAAAACCCCATTGGTGAGGATCCTGATGAAGAGGAGCCTGAACCAGTGGATGAAAGGTTGGTGGAAAAGCCGTTGGACCCCAAACGGGATAGAGGGGAAATAGCGTTGAAAGAAGAAGCTCAATCAATACAGCATCTGTTGACTCACACCCCAAAGAACCCCTTTTGTCAAGCCTGTTCTAGGGCCAAGATGACAAAGCGCCCATCCTACAGTAAGGGCGGATCCACTCAAGTCGAAGCGGATCAGTTTGGACAACATTTGACTGCTGACCATCTCGTTATCCGTGACGATGAGGAAATGGATATAGATGGGGCACGCGTTGCTCTGGTCGTAAAGGATGTAGCTACCGACTTCTGGTATGTCTATCCGGCCGCACGTCGATCGACGCGTGAATGCATCGCAGCCTTTAAACATTTCGTTCGATCCACTGATGAAGTTGGAGTGTTTTACTCTGACAACTCACCAGAACTCATCGCCACTGCTGACAGATTGGGGTGGAGGCATCAAACCAGCTTTGCATATGTTTCCAAAACAAATGCCATGGCTGAAAGGTCCATCAGGTCCGTTATCGACGGGACAAGAGTAAACCTGGAACAAGCTGGTCTTCACCATCAATATTGGGCTCATGCCGCGAGGCATGCATGCATGGCAAATAATATTTTCGACGCCCGGGAGGGTAGTTCGCCTTGGTCACAACGGTTCGGTGAGAAGTTTAAAGGCCCTTTGGTTCCCTTTGGGTTGCGGATTGACTACTGGATCGGTCCCAAGAACAAGGCCAAATCCTCTCTCAGGTTCGAGCCGACGTCAAACCCTGGAATCTTTTTGGGGTATGCCGTTCAATCCAACTTCGTGTGGAGAAAGGAGTTCATGGTTCTCCCATTGAAGGATGTCATGGAGTTAGACTTCATTCAGTGCAGAGATCCAGCCATTGAGAGTCCATCACATTCCTGTTCCCGACATCGGGTTACACTTTCCGTGTAAAGGCAGGTACAACATGATTAGAGAAGGGTTGTACCCGGGCATCACCATTTCAAGCAATCCACCATCGATCGATGATGTTAAAGCTGCGAATATCGAAGAACTTGTTGATCAGGAGGTTTTGAAACATGCTGTTGATCAAGGGTATGAGCCAGATGAACCACCCGTACTTCCCGAAGCGCTTGTCGGCGATGCTCCTGTCGTTGCTCGCGGGTCGGGAGACTTTGCCGATGAACCGGGGGGTGAAGAGGTCGAGTTATAGATCCTGTCACGGGTGAAACAACCTTAATCCCCAAAACCGATTCATCGTATTATGACGCCGGAGGTCACAAGGCAAGGAAGTACAAAGGTTCGTCGAAACCACCTGACATTCCTCCTTTCCTGTGGAAAGCCGCTTCCAAAGCGGAAAGGAAGAAGGCCATTGAAAAATACGAGCTTGAAGAGGCTCGGAAGCGCCTTCTAGCTGAGAGGAGTAAGCATAAAGCAGCCGTGGCAGAGATTGATGGCAAATTGCGACATTACAAAAGTGGTGATGTCCCCGCTGAGACGAAAATGTACGCCGCCTGGGAGGGTGTGCCATGATGCCGGTTGAACATGAAGAAAAGCAGCATGAACATAGGGAGAAAGGAATAC